ATCATTGTGATCGATCACGGTACGCGTGCAGAGCGCTCTGCGCGGTTCGCTGAGGAAGCTGCCTGTGGGCGCGGGCTGTTGCTGCACGTTTCCTGCAGAGCCAGTGCAATGGTCTCGACAGCTGTGGCAGGAAGCTGAGACACGGCTGAACAGCACTCGTCCGGATACGGGCTGGGAGCCACAGCAGCAGGCAAGCAATCACAAGGGTCCCAGTGCAACCCCAGTAACTCATGAATTCATTCACTGCATCCCCATACACAGTGCCCTGCAGAAGTACGGGGACAGCGAAGTATAAGTCAGGATTTTCACTAAGAACTGTAATCATTGAGATCATTTAACAATCCTGGCTGATGCATACAGCTCCTGGGTATTTTATTTTTAAGTGAAATCAATTCAGTTCTGCCCTCGGAGCTCAGATGAACACTCCGACAGCGTGGAGGCGCTCGATTTTGAGGGGGCAGAAGTATCAGAACAGCTGTCCGTTCAGTCAGATGTTCGTTATTGGGGAATTACCCCGAACGCCCTGCCCGCCTGTCTCACTTCGACTTCGGCGCTCTGAGTCCGTATGTCGAAAGTCAAAATGAAACGTCAGAAGAAAAGCAGGTCATTTCGCAGCTGCAAGAAAGGAAAAACTCGATCAGGCCTTTAGTGCAGAACTTGGGTCGTGCCAAGATCCACAGCAGAAAGCAACCACAGGTAGAATTACCCACCAGCCCAGAACAGTATCCACGGCTGATGGCATCCTGACAAGCAGCAATCCTCTGACCTGTCTGGGAAAATCCCACATGCACAGTCTCCAGAGCGCAGAGGGAGGGTATTCAGTCCACAGATCACACAGATCTGATCAGCACCAAGAGCTGAAAAGCCAGGCCACAGTTTGCCCACAGTTATAAAGATGAACCAGGAGAGCTTGGGAAGAGTTTTGTGGACAGATGACAGAAAGACGACCCTTCACTGAGGTGATAGAGGGGTGAGGTCGCGCAGAAAGACAGGACCTGCAGAAGCCCCAGAGACACCAGCACAGGTGTGAAGCTCGGAGGTCCCGTCATGGCCGGACACGCATGGTCACCCCCGGAACCGGCTCGCTCGTACGCATCGACGACGTGACTCCTCGTGGCCGCAGCAGAGAGGCTCCGGAAGCTCACAGCAACGTCTTTGCCCGCTCGCTTGGGAGAGACGCTTCTGGCGCGTCACCATCACCAATGCGCCGAGATGAGCGGGAGAGTCTGGGACCGGACCGGGCCATCTCCAGCAGCAGCTCACAAACGGAAGACAGGGACAGGCACGAGCTCTCCTGTGTTGACCACACACAGCCTGGTGAGCTGCGTGCAAGGCAGACATTGTGCACTTACAGAATCAAAGGCATCTGACTCCAGACAGTGTAATCAAGACCCCTGCTTAACGCCTCATCAGAAGAGTTGATAAAGCAGGGGGATATCATGCTGAACCATACTTTATCAGCGGCTATTTTCCCTCTCCCCCTCACCCCTGAAGAAGGCTCCATGGCCGAAACGTTGTGTCCACGACACAAAATAATAAT